AGATGGCCAAGAGTCTTTCTCCCTGAGTCCCAGCCTTGCTCCCACCTGCTCTAGCCCCTCCTCGCCCGGATCCGCTGTGCAAATACAGGGCCACCGCCGACTGTGGGAACAGTAAATCTTCCCTCACTCTTTTATTCATGCCCTCACCTCTGCAGACAGTGCTGAGGAAAAACAAACCACCCCACAAAATCCCTGCGGGCTCCAGCAGTCTGGCAGTCTCTTCTTTGCTCTTCTCTGATCCCCTCCGGATGGCAGAGGCTGGAGAAGAGGCCTACCAGCTTCCCAGGGGGACGACAGCACTCCCTTCTCCTCCCCCAATGGTGCTTGCTGAGCCCCATATCTGCTCTGGGGAGCAGAAATCAGTGAGACCTGGGGAAACTGGGAAATTATTATTCATGGCTTCCAGGAGCAGCACTCGATCTACCTCACCTGCCTAGCCTCCCCAGACTGCAGGAGAGCACCAGGCTGGCGAGGTGAAGTGCCGCTGCCTGGGCCACCATCTGAGGAACGGCCGCAGGGAAGGAGGGGCAGCCCCGGCAGCCGGGCCAAGGCAGCGTCTGCACAACAGTCCAGCCCTCCAGAATTCCCAGGAAACCTCTCTTCCTCCAAATCTGGGGTCACCAGGGCAGGTTTCTTTTAAGTCCAGTCAGACTGAAGGAGGACTGGAGGCACAGACTGAAGGGGGCCAAGGGGCACTAGGTTTCACAGAATGCCTTTCATAATTACAGTGGACTTGGCAGGACCCACTGTCCTGGTTTGCCCAGACAGTGGTTTCTGGGGACATGGGGCTTTCAGAGTTAAAACCAGGAGCATTTTAGACAAACTGGGAAGATAGGGTCACCCTGAGGGGCCGTGGGAAAGGATTCTCCCTCCATGGGACTGGTGACATGGCCAGGGGCAGAGGACAGCCAGGACAAAAGCTGCCTGTTAACAGTTCTGCTAACCAAAACCTTTCCTCACTCCTCCTCCTCATGCACAGGGAGAGTCTGGGGAGCAGAGAGGGTCCTGAGGCCAGTTTAGGAGCTGTCAAGAGAGAGGGGACAGAAGGAAAGTGTCCGTGGTCTTTGTGGGAGGGAGAAAATTCCTTCACCGTCTTGCGGAGCTGGGGCCCCTGAGGCTCTACACGGAGCCTCGGGTGTCAGGAAGGAGCTGGGGAGGACTTGAAACACTTCCAGGTCACGGGCCTCCACCTATTCTGGAACCTTGACCCCCATACATACAAACACTGGACAGACAGACATGGGGAAAAAAAATTGTTTGCCTGGTGTGGTCCCCACCCCCATCAGGACCCTGAGGGCAAGCCTCAAGGGAGAGCACCGGAAGTGCTGTCCTGGCGTGGGCCTGAGGAGCCAGAATGTGCCTGGTCCTTCACATCTGCCCAGCACCACCCCGAGGTGCTCTCTCCACCGTGGGGCAGGTGTCTCCAGAGGTAACAGAGGTTTGAGTTAAAGCTGAGAGGGCAGATCCGTGGAGACCACCTGGCCCAGGCTCCCTGTTGGACAGGTGGGAGACCAAGTTCAAGGGAGGCGGAGTCCCTTACTCAGGGCAGCATGCTCTTAAGGGGTTGGAGGCCCAGACTGGGGCTCTACTCCATCAGATGCCACAGCCAAAGATCCATTAGAAGGGAGGAGGCTCAGAAGGTAAGCCCAGGCCCGTGAAAGCCCCCGCTTTCCTGGAGCCCACACTTTGCTCTGAGAGAGGCACACGAGCGGGAGATCGGCGTCGTCTGGAGCCAGGACTGCTCTCTCCATTCTGAGTCCCCAGCTTGGTCTCTTCCAGCACCAACTCCAGGCAGAAACCTTCCAGCAGATTGCCCGGGACTGCTTTGCCTGAGGGCCTCTGGAGCCCTGTGCTATAAGTCTACAGATGTACTGCCTGCTCCACGTCTCACTGTCCAGGTCTCGGAATATGTAAGAAAGATCAGCCTTGCCCTCAGAAGTAGGAATTCCTTCCCATCTGCTACTAGGAACCTTCTAGAGGTGGTGGTATTTAAGACAGCTTAAACAGCCATTAACAACCCTGAACGCCAGTCGGGTAGCAGGAAGCAGAGTCCCAAGGGTGAGACTCACCCAAGGAGTGCATCCTGATGTGTCTGAGTCGAGAGGTGGGGGGTATCTGGAGCCGGAGGCTGGGAGAGGCTGAAGAGTGGTAGCAGGTGTAACTGGGCTCTCTCTTGAGTAGCCAGGAGGGTCCTAAGTGCATGGCCAGGAGAGGGCAGAGCACCAAAAACAGTGGGAAGACTGGGGGAAATCTGCTCCTGACAGCTCCTGTACCAGCTTTTAGCACTTACAGCATTTCCAGCTTCATCGTTTTACGGGTGAGCCCAGCACTTCCAAAAGTAAAATGTAAGAAAGAGCCTGGGAAAGGTTCCCGAGGAATGGCAGGTCTGCCCCTTCATTCACAGCAACCTTTCTAGGAAAAGCAGGACTCCACAGAAGGTCTAACAAGGAGAGAGAACCTGCACCCGCACTGTACCCTCCAGACCCCGAAAGCATGGAGAAGGAGTAGATGAGCGAAGGAAGAGACCCTGGGCAGGGCAGCCAGGAGCTACCTGCTGGGGAAGTCCCAGGGGGCTTGCCAGCTCCGCCCAGGCAGGTGGGACGCAGACCCCTTTGACAGGAGAGGCAGGTTTCCTGCACAGAAATGCCCTGACTTATTCCACGAGAGGCCCTTGGAGCTCCCTTAGCAATTACTGCCTCACCATGTAGCTTTGTGCCTGACTGGCCACTATAATTTATTGCAAATCCGTCTCATTGCTCCAATAAGGCAGTCGGCTTCTCTACCTCTGAATGCAGCTGGGCACCCAGCTGGTCCCCCATTAAAATCCTTCTTGACCTGAATCTTCCCACCTTTCCTTGCCCCCATCTCTATCCTGGCACTCGGGCAGCTGGCCCAGGGGAGCAGGACGAGCTCCCACGGACACACCTCCTCACCATCCTAAGAGCTAGATCAGCAGGTGCAAACAACTAAGTGCAGGTGGCGCCTCAGAGTCTACAGACCCGACTGGTCGCCTGGCAAAAGACACTAGCAGCTTCTGTCGGGAAACAGGGAACTGCTATTAGCAAATTCTCTAATTAGGGTTCTCTTTATCGTCCTCCTGTGGAAGATACCCATTTGTAAGGTTTAAGGCAGACCGTGAAAATCACGGAGAACTGGAAATCTGTAAGAATATTGCCTGAGAAGGGTCTCTGGCAGGAGCCCCTGAACTTCCCAGGTTCTGCTTTACCTCACCTATAAACAGCAGGGGCGGCAATGCCTCCGTGCAGGCAAGCGACTCAGCTCGGTAAAAAAGCACGTTCCAAGTCCACACTTCTGGGCGGCACTGGACCTTTCGCTCATCCACGTGCAGAACAGGGGTGTGGAGGCAGAGCGAAAAGAAAAGGCTTCCCTGGCACCTACTTGTGGCGGGTCTTGGGCGAATACTCAATCTTTCGGAATGGATTTTCTTGCCTGTAAAGTGGCCGCAGTGATAATGATATCTTCGCCGCACAGATATTATGAGATCTAAGTGAGATACACATGAACAGTGTCGATAAACTGGAATATCCAGCTGTTCCTGGTTATTAACCGACTCTAATGACTGTGATAAAGAAAAACCTCCCTTCGAATAAGCCAAGGCTTCCAGATGACATGAGAAACACCAAGAAGATCACCGCTGATGGATTTGTTGGTAACTCTTCCCTGCCCAGAGTGATCAGCTGTCCCGAGGCTGCCTCTTGGGATGGGGGCTTAGCAGAGTCAGGGAGTAAACGCTCGAGCTCAGAGAAGCGGCTGGAGGACCACGAACACAGGGTGAGGCAATTTGCCACCCACTAGGCCCTCCCCGTGCTGCTTCTGGGGTTTGAGAGCAGACCCAGCAACCTCCTCCCAGGTAACAGAGCCACAGTAAACTGAGGCCCCTCTGTTTTAGTGCACTTCATGGAAAGGGAGCAGACCCTCCAGGAAAAAAAAAATGCTGATAAACTCACAAAAAAGTTGTGTTATTGCTAAATGCTCATTGCATTTCCTTGGGTAAGCACCATAAAAAATTCATTGCAGTTTTTAGAAACAAGATGCCAAGTGTATTTTAATTGCTAGAGGGGAGAGAGTCAGGGAGAAGCTGAACCAGGAAAATGCTAACTGGGCATAAACTCAGAAAGAAATCTTCCCAAGACGGGAGGCCGAGTGCTGAGACCGGAGCTCAGGAGACACAGGTCTTGGGAAGCCGGGCCCTCCTAAGATAGCAATGACTTAATGGTTCTCAGGCCTACGGCTGCAGCCCACCCAGAGAGCTGGGGGCTTTCTGCAGTAGATCATGTGGTGTGGACTTAAGAAATGTAAAGAATTAAATAAGTGAATGCCAAAATTCTAGAAAGATCAGCAGGAGTCCCGTTCTAGAGCTTTAGCATGTATAGGAAGAAAATTAAAATTTTATATCTTAGCCTGTGTGTGTGTGTGTGTGTGTGTGTGAGAGGGAGAGAGAGAGAGAGAAAGAGTATGAGAGAGAGAGTGTGTATGTGTGTGAGAGAGAGAGACAGAAAGAGACTGAGAATGAGAGGCAGACCTAGACGAAACATCATTTCACTTTAATAACAACATGCCTTGGACCAGTTCACAGAACTGTCATTTATAAACCAACATCCTATCCCAGTGCCAACCAGAGCACTCTTACAGGGCTCCTGCACCCCCCACCCCACAGGGCCAGTCAGAGCCAGGAGGGAACAGGCAGTAGGTGAGAAAGACTGCAGAGTGGGGAGGGTCCTTGACTCCATGGGCTTGGCCCTGCCTTGAGCCAGGGGCTCTTCTAGAGCGGCACCTGCCCCACCGGAGAGCACATGGAGAGAGTGGTTGCAGGGCGTCCCTGAGCATCCTTTCAAAACATGTGCACAAGGTGGAGGCGGGGGGCGGGCAGAAGGGCAGGCACGGAGCTGCTGCCAGTAGCCTCTTGCTCTCCCATTCCTTCCCGACCCCCCCCCAACCCCCCCCCCCCCCCCCCCCCCCCCCCCCCCCCCGCTCTCCTGTTACATGAGCGAGGCCGGCCCACAGGTGGTGACTGTCTTGTGTTGTAGGAGGTCCGTGCCTTCGGCATCTGAGGCTGCTGCTTCTCCTCCATCTAGCGGACCTGCCAGAGACCCAGGAAGCATGAGGCTGCGTGCAGCACTGGGGGAGGGAGTCCCGGGCTGACAGAGGAAGGAGCCAGACCCGCAGCGTGGCCTCACCAGCTACCAGCCCAGGAACATTCACTGTAGTAAACCACTTGACCACTCAGAGCCTTGATTTCTACTTCTATCAAATGTAGCTAAATATACCTGCTTCTCGCGGTTTTCTGAAAGGCCTGAATGAGGAGGTGGGTGCCTGTGTCCCCTGTCGACTCTAAAATTTATTACCTACCACCTGTGCTTGTGCCCAGCCCTGCAGAAAGAGGCGTTTCTTCATCACGCCCTGCACTTGTAAAGTTCTTCATACACGTAACCCATTTCGTACACATTCTCCTGCTTGGCCCTCCCACTGAACGGATGGTCGAGAGCCTTGCTGGGTGTCGCACAAGAATTAATCCTTGCTGAACCCAAACTGCTAAATACCACGCTCTCTCCAGAGCGCAGGGAATGCAGGCGCTCCTAACCACCATAGAAACCAGGAATAAACCCGCATATGAACAACACGCAGACCGCTGGCTGGAGGCCTAGAGCCAGCACCGTGTAGCCACTGCTTATAGTCTGGCCTCATTCACTCATCACAGGAGCGGTCAAGGTAGCCATGGTGCTATTACCAGGAAACTGAAGATTGCCAAGGTTAGCGATTTGCCAAAGTTCACACAGTGAATGGCAGATCTGAGCTACAAAGCCAGGTCTACTCTAACCTAGCGAACACTTAAATCCATAAAAATCCAATGGATTCAGTGTTACAAGCATCACTTCCTCCTCCCACTCTGGGGACCATTCCCCAGCCCCAAGCAGGGCCCAGGCCTAAGAGGTGAGGGTCCCAGTTTCCAAAGTTTGGGTCCTTTACAAACCCACCCATCCTTGCCCCCATACTCACCCTCACAATGTCATGGATCCAGTCCAGGAACTCAGCAACCTTGGCGTAGACGCCTGGGTGATTGGGCTCCGCACAGCCACGGCCCCAGCTGACCACCCCCACCAAGTGCCAGGTGCCCCTGTCCAGGCACACCAGGGGCCCCCCGCTATCACCCTGAGAGCATGGAGACACAAAGAAAGAGGCAGTTAGTCCTTCCTGGTGGAGGGGACAGTGCCTCTGTTCCTGGTCCCTGCTGCTTGCAGCATGGGATTTCCGCTTGCCTCACCCCTCCATAAATCTTTAGCACACTACTCGACATGCCTAGGCACTCCTCCTTCTAGAGAGGCTGTTCGGAGCAGAGGTCAAGACACCGCAGGTCCCCCCGTTCCCCCCAACACCACCACAGTCCCCCTCCGTGCTGTACCTGGCACGCATCAGCCTTCCCATCCACGTAGCCAGCACACAGCATTCGGGGGGTAAGCGCCCCACTATACATGCAAGAGCTGTTGCAGAGCTCGGTGCTGAGCAGGGGCACCACCGTGTCCTGGAGCGTATCTGAGTTGTGGGCTACAGGAGGTACACATGGAGAAGGAGGGACACAGAGCCAGGCCGCGGGGCACAAAGCAAGACCAGGAAGACACAACAAGAGGGAAGGTGATTAGGGGCCCTGGAGGCATTAGACCCATAGAGGGGAGCCCAAGGTGGGATCTGCGGACCCCGGGAAGGAAACATGGGTCCATCAGATGTAAGAGTGAAGAGGAGTAGAATTCACACACACACACACCCCCAAACACTGAAGCCACAGCACTCCTGGAATGGAGGGCAGGGGTGTCAAACACCTGGCTTCAAGGGATACTCAAGGAGTGTTCTTCCAGAAAGACCCAGGCCAGGGAGACCAGGGCTCCTAGGTCTCGCCAACAGTGATGCCAGAGAACAGGGGGGTTGGCACCACCATTTGGCTGGGGGAGGTGGAGGTGGGAGATAGAGGGGCCTCACCTTGGCCAGAAGGCCCCCCCACCCCTATTTTACCCAGGACCCTGGGAGCTGACTCACTGTGGCTGGGGTTGGTGTGGCCCCAGCCAGACACCCAGCACTGTGATCCCCTTGGAAAATCTTGCTTCTCGGCTGGCAGGCACACAGCACCCACGGTGTCTGTGGAGAAGCAGGTGATCCTGGGTCCCACTTGGGCTTAGTTTCCTTTCCCCACCTCCTCACCCTCAGGTTGGGGGAAGAACCAGGGCTGGCAGGTACTCTCACTCCCTCTCAAACAGTCCTGGCTCCCCGCCTCCACCAGCCAGGTCTCCTGTAAGGTTGTGCAGGTCGTGCCCTGCACCACATTGGCACGGAGGTCACCACTGACACAGAGGACGATGTATAAACCACCATGTGCCTGGTGCCTTCTAGGTTGGGCAATGGACACCCCGCACAGACCTAACCTGGGGAATGAGGGAAAATGGGAATTCCTTCTGGGCGTTTGTGCCCAACTTCTCCTAATGAGGACTCATTTTGCATTTTCCTTAGGGTATTTGATCCCTCTTGGGGCACGGTTTCCAAAAGTGTGTGGCAAGTCCTACAGGGTTGGGCCCAAACTTGTTCTAAAGTAGCACACAGACTGCTGATTATAAAATAAACACTGAGTCCCATGGGGAGAAAGGATTCCCTTCTCAGGGCTCTTTCCACCTCTGCAAGAGCAGCCAGGAAAAAGATTCCCTCCAGTGCCATTCCAGGGCTCCCCAGTCCTGCCAGCCTCCACCTAAACACGGAGAGTGCAGGCCCAGGCGCGGAGGGTCTGCAGAGGGCAGCAAGCTGGAGCCCCAGCGCTGTCTTGTTTTCTCTCCATGTTTCTACGGTTGTTACCTATTCGCCACAAATAATACGGGTTCCCTGGTTTGGTCGTAACTTAAAGCTCCCCTTTCAAATATACCCGAGTCAACTGAGAAATATTAACTGCTGAGCCCAAGTTCGGGAGTACACACGCGTGGTGATATTTGTGAAGGGCATGCAGCAACAGCCGCGATTTGGGAAACCCAAGGCTACAGGTGGTGATGGGAGGGAGGAGCACGGAGCGTGCGTGCGCATGTGCGCCTGTGCATGAGTGTGCACACACGGGAGCATGTGATCACGTGTGTGCTTGTGTATGAATGTGTACGCATGGGAGCATGTGCGTGTGTTTACTTGCGTGAAGATGGCATGAGTGAGTGTGTGCATGTGTGAGCGCGTGTGTGTGTGTGTTTGTTGGTGAGGAGGCAGGCACCCGTGCGTGCTATGGGCAGGGGTGGGGGTTTGAGAGCCGCTGCCGGAGAGAAGCCGGACCCCGGAGTCAGGACACCAGGCTCGGGAACAGTTTGCTGAGAGATCTTGTAGAGTCACTTTCCTCACTAAACCCTATGGTCCTTCCCTGTTTATACCTGCCTCATCTACCTGTCAGGGTTAGATGGAAGGAAAGACATTTGGGAAAATAAAGCTTAGTAACTGGGACATGTCCCATGGTGGCTGGGACCTGGGGCCAGCCTGGGGTCGGGGCGGAGCAGCGCATGGGGAGATGGAGCACCGAGGAAGCTCTGCCAGGTACTTTGAGGCAAGTCCCTCTTGCAGCCCAGCTATGCGGGGTCCAGAACCTTCATCCCCAAGAAAGCCCGCACACGTTGCTGCATGCTTAGGTCCAGGTAATGCCCAAGTTCACTGGTCATCCAATGAACTGAACGTGTCAATGTCTACAGCACTAGGAGGGAACCTCAGAAATGAGCTCACCCCTCAGGCCCCAGCCCCCCCGCCCCCCTCCGCCTCCACCCCAGGGCCTGCCTCCCTCCCCACAGCCTGCACTTGCTCGGGCCAGGTCAGCACCTCACCTGAGAAGTTGAGTGGCGTCCAGAGCCGCAGGAGGGCGATGTCATAGTCGTGAGTCTGGCTGCTGTAGAGAGGGTGGGGGACGATCCTCTCCACCACAGCCCCCTGGTGAGGCCTGATGGCACTGTGGCTGACCAGCCCCACGTGGACCCGCCAGCTGGACAGGCGGAGTACCCTAGAACTGCACACGGGAGCCATGCTGAGCCCAGGGAAGGACAGGGCGCACAAGGCTGACCTAAGTGGGGTGGCAGATGGGGGAAGCTGGCCAGAGAAGCCACTTGTGGCTGCCCCCATCACCAGGCTGGGAGCTCCCAGAACCCAGGCTCCACGCCTCCTAGTATCCTTGCAGCAGCTGGCAAGATACTGGGCATGCAGTAGGTGCTCCATAAATGCTCTAGACTGGCCAGAGAAGTATGACAGTGTGGGAGATCTACAACTCCCACACCCTCTGTCCTGAATAACGCTCCTCCATGTTTTATAACAGACATCAAAGGGGCTTGTGTGATATGCTAACTGCGAGTCAGAAAAACCATGAGTCCTGTCTCTCCACCTACTGCGACTGTGGGGAATTCGCCTCATCGCTCCCAGCCTCGGTCCCCACCTTGTAAAATGAGGAGTACACTATCTGCCCCGCCTGCCGCCAGAAGGAGAGGTCCAAAGAGCTCATTCACTTGTCGTTCATTCCTACACCGCTCCAAGCTGTAGTTATGAAGCACCTATTATCTGCCAGGACTGTTCTCGGCCAGAGGGACATGGCAGTGGGAAAATCAACACAGAGACTCAGTGGTAAACAAGACTGAGAGTGTCAGCCCCCACGGAGCTTCCCGTCTAAAGGGGAAGCAAGACATTAAGCCAATAATTACACGGAAGGTGATTTAATTACTGTTGTGATAAACATTAAGAAGCACAGAGCGCTGTGAATGGGAAAGCCTTTGAAAAACTTCAAAACTGAGCAAATATAAAGATGCGATCTTTGTGTTATCGCCACTATTCGTGCAGAGCTGTTCTCGGCAGGGACCGGGGAGAACTGCGCCATGCACGCCCCTCAGAATGGACGCGGGAGGCAGACAGTCCGACGGACATGGACGTGTTATACGGGACATACCGCGGGCCAAACAGAAAAGGCCGCTGAGGCACCCTCCGGGTCCGCGGCCCCGAGACTTGCCTGTGCACGCAGTGAGCGGCCGTCACCACCCAGTGGGGCGCCACCACGGAGGCCCCGCACGTGTGCCGGGAGCCCAGGGCCACACTGGCCTGCCAGGGCCAGCGGCCAGGAGCCACGGCCTGCCCGCCAACTATCCGGGAGGCCAGGGGCCTCGCCCCACACGCTACAAACAGAGAAGCACAGGGGAGATGGTTAGCCAGTAGACAGGTGGGTGTCAGCATGGTCCTAACCTCGGGGAGTGTGGCCCAGCGCGGACAGCTCTCATTTATTACTCCTGGCCCTGAGTTTGGGGGAAAGGATGGTCCAAGTGTCAATTACACATCTGTCTGCCCCATCAGGCTACAAGCTCACTGAGAGCTGTGACCATGCCTACATTGTCCATGGAGCCCCAACACCTCATAAAAAGCCTGTTCCATGGGAGGGGTCGAAATGTTGGTGTATGGATGGATGCACAGATATATAGAGAAATATAGATGATTGGGGGCGTGGGGTCAGACGAAAGGAGCTCCACAGACTGTCTCCCATGTAGCCCCTAGTTTGCCCCCTTCCTTAGTCTCCTGAAGGTGCTAAATGGTTAGCAGCCAAGAGTAATCCCTTTGGGGCTCTCCAGATGAAGGGGGGCGGGAGCTTCAGAAGTCAAGGCAAGTAGTCCCAGGAGGTGAAGCCACAGCACTCCTGGGATGGAGGGCAGGGGTGTCAAACACCTGGCTTCAAGGGATACTCAAGGAGTGTTCTTCCAGAAAGACCCAGGCCAGGGAGACCAGGGCTCCTAGGTCTCGCCAACCGTGATGCCAGAGAACAGGGGGGTTGGCACCACCATTTGGCTGGGGGAGGTGGAGGTGGGAGATAGAGGGGCCTCACATCCACCCAGATCAGTGGCTGGTGGGGGACAGGACAGGGGCTTGGTCAGGGCTCTGTTGGGGCAAAACAGTGTCTGCAAGAAGGGGACCAGTAGGCAGAGGGGCAGTGGGCAAGGAACCCCACCCCAGACCCACACTAAGGACAGGGGGAAACTCCTTCCTCCCACCGCCACCGTCCTGGACATGCCTGGATATGACTCACCAGAGCATCTGAGGGAAACGATTTGGCCGGAAGCACAGCTGTTCCTACAAAGCAGAGGTGGCAGCAGGAGGCTGGGCAGGGGCCCACCCAAGGCCTTGGAGGGAGGCCAGGGGCAGTCATCAGGTGCAGACAGAGGAAGCCTCTGGTGCAGCCCCCATCTGTGTCCTGCCTGCCTCCAAGCCCTGGGCCCCTCCTCATTAGCAGTTCTCCAGGACAGCGTGCTACTCCGCCCCATTACCCCAGGAGGTCGTGGCCCTTGAGGGTAGTCTTGGGCAGGGCCCAAAGTTACAAATCCGGTGTCTGTAGATGGGAAGTCCAGCTATGCCTACTAAGGACCCCGCAACAAATGTGTGGATGGATAAGGGAGCAAAGGAAGAGGGCGCATGTCACCCCACGCCCCTCCTGGGCTTCCTCTATTCTCTCTCCAACCCCTTGCTCTCCCCTCTCCCTCCTTCTTCCAAGCAAAATTTCAATTTCTGCTGGACCAAAGCCCTCTTCTCTCTCGTACTCATCTCAGGCCCCGGCGGCCCAATGCCACGATCCCTCTCATATCCCAAACCCGCAGGGTTCTGGCTCCCTGACAGAGTCAGTTCCATTCACGTGAACTGAGTTTGTGATTTCTGACTGGGAAACGCTCCTGCGTCCCATCTCACACAGCCAATGTCCTCACCCCCAGGTTCCCACAACAGGAAAATATTTGCTCAACAGCTCACCAGAAGGGACCCACTCAGCCTCCTGAGAAGTCCTACCTGGACTGCCACACTTCCTCCAGGAAGCCCTCCAGTCTGGGAGGGAGCTGAGCAAACCGCTGGGAGCTGTTGAGCTTGATGTCAGACAGGTTCACTCCCTTGAGGTGACTGAGTCTTGGCGGAAAAGGGGAACAGAATGGGAGGAAACTGGTTGATGCTGCAGCACGGAGATGGCAATAATCACGACCAAGATGTGCCTGAGATGCCGTCCCCAGCAGTACACGGAGCAAGACTGACAATGACCTCTTCTGGGATTCATATTTGTTTAAGAGCAGGGATGCTCAAACGAGAGAAACTAGCTGAGGTCCCTTCATGCCCAGAGGGCAGGAGATGGCCAAAATGACCTCTTGTCAGTTCCTGAGCACTTTGACGGGACAGGCAGATAGAGGTCTCCGCCTCCCTTTCCCCTCCACCCTCGCCCAGGCCCCAAGCCTGCCGCCCCCCTTACCTGAGATGCCCCAGGCTCTGGCAGATCCGCACCCCCAGGGCAGGGCTCCAGCCCTCGTGGCAGACCAGGAGCCAGTCTGGCCGCGCTCCCACCTGTGCTTCCAGCAGGAAGTCCTCCGTGATTATTCTGAAAGATACTGAAGGCACGGCATGGAAGTCACATCCCACCTCCTGCGGGGCGGAGGGACAGGCTGGGCAGGTAGAGCTGGACCCGGCCAAAGGGGGACTTGAAGAGGCCTCAAGACAGCATCTGGGTCACCCAGTGTCGGGCTCCCTGTCCCCTGGGGAATCAGGCCGGTTCTGAGAACAAAAGAACCTCTATTTATAGTGCTGCATTCCAGTTTGGTGTTTAACGAAGTGCTTTTAAATGTTCTGTCACCTGTTGTCATGGCAACCCCCAGGGGGTGAGTATGACCACCCTTCCATGCTGCAGAGGGACCACTAAGGCAGGGAGGGTAAGGGACCTGCCCCAGATCACAGAGTCTGCGCGTGATGGATCCAGGACTACGTCCAGTCTTCCGCTTTCAAATCTTGTGGTCATCCTAGTGATGGTGACCGCTGAGCCTCTGCCTTCTTCAGGCTCTGTGCTAGGCTCTTTCACCCATTAGCTCGTATTATCCTTACAACTTCAGGTGGCAAATAGTGGTATCTCCATTTTGTAGAGAAGGAAATGGGAGTTCCAAGAAGCAATGTGCCCAAGGTCGCATAACTAGCACTAGCAAAAGGCAGGCCCCATGCTAACTGTAACTTCTGTAACTGATTCCAGCCCCTGCCTGGGCAGCTCCTCTTCTGACCCTCAACTCAGGTTTGGCGGGGAGAGGACAATGTGAAGCGAGGATCCCCGCCGGCTACACACCGGCTCCCCACATGCACCTGTTCCCCCTTCCCCATCCTCCTGGCTCACTCTGCCCCAGATGGCAAGTTGCCATCCCTCCTCCCAGCCTGGGCTCCTGGCTGTGCCCATGTAGGGTTCAAGACCGTCCCCAGGGAGTGCTGAAAGCTCCAAATCCGAGGTGGATTTTCAAAGCTGGACCATATCGCTCCCGTCCCACCGGAGGACGAGCCCCCACTGCCGGCAGTGATGTCAGGGCACTTCATTCTGGTCCCCTTGCCCCGGCCAGAAGTGGGGATCCCAGAGCCATGAAGGGGCTCAGGGCAGGTGGGGGTGGTCTGTAGTCTTGGGGGTGTAGCCCACCTGTTCTGGGCGGCGTGGGGAGCAGGGCTTCTGCACCGCTGGCCTCGGAGCAACTCGAAGGGATCTCCTCATCCTGCAGGGTCCCGGGAGCGGGCTGGGAGATCACCGGCCGCAGATACAGCACTTTGGAGGACAAGGACAGGAGAGGGTCACAGAGAAGAGGCTAGGAGAGGGGAGGGATTCCCACATGAGAGGGCCAAGGGGCAGAACAAGACTCCTGCACCAGAGGGAGACAAAAGCAGCTGCTGGGGACTCGCCCTCCACCACCCAGCCTCAGGCGCGTCCCCACCTAACACACTAAGAGGCACAGCTCTCTCTCCCTGTCTGTCTCTCTCTCTCTGACTGGGAAAGATTTCTAGAGACTGTTCAACTTGGGCTTCCCTGGCTCATCCATTCAAGTACCTTCCACTTCCCACTGCAAGACTAGAGCCTTCTGGACGCAGAGCCTAACTCCCTCCTTCTGAGGTCCCACCCCCCCACTCCTCCCCTGTGGGCAGTCCAGGGGACAGGAGAAAGACGGGTCCTGGCTGCCTTTTACAGCTGCTTGTCTCTTCCCGCAAGGACCCCCCAGACCCTGGTCTTCAGCCCTCCCTGGAGCACAGAAGGGTCTCCACACTGACCGAGAAGCCAGGAGCCGACGCTCACACCAGCCAGCAGCGCCAACACTCCCAGCCCCGCACAGCAGCGCTGTCCCGCACCCGGGCACCCTGCCAGAGAGGCTGCAGGAGAGGGGAGGGCAGCGTCTGTGTGCCTGGCCCCTGCCTGCCAGTCTCCCTCTGCCCGAGGCACCACCATGGGGCTCCAGCCATGGGGCTACAGCAGGAGCTATACCCCCCACTGAGCCTGCCCGCCTCCCCTTGCCCCATGCCCACAAGGCCCACAGAGCCCACTCAACCCCCAAACTAGACACAGAGCAAAAGCAGGTCTGGGGTAAACCGTGGGATAAACTCGCCATCAGCCACTGGGGGTTCTCTCAAGAAGGGTCTGGGGAATGTAGGAAGATTACCCATTCGCTGTCCCCACCCTGTCATTCCCCTATAGCCCAGTCCGGCCTACTGGGGTGCTGCTGGGCTTCGGGCCTCCGCAGTGGGTCTCTCAACTTTGCTTGGAAGTTCCTGGGTCCTGGGCTCTCCTCTGCATACTGAGCCTCCATGTGGGTTTGGCCATCCGGCATCAGGCTCTGGGGAAATAACTTTTGGTCACTTGGGATCCCCACACCAAGGGGAGAAGCTTCGGCCCCTACAAGACCCCACTCTCTAACCTTGGCTGTGCACTCACTGCCTTTTTTTCATCTTAGAGACACTGTGTATTCCCACTGACGCCCCCCACCAGGCCCTCTCTGCTCTCGTGGAGCCTCTAACCCTGCCCCCCTTATTCTCACACAGCCCGTAAGCACCGGAGCCGGTATTCAAACCCAGACCCAGCGCTCCTCACCATCCCCTCCCCTGGCCTCCCACAACCATCAGGGATGTCCGCTGAATCTCTCAGCATCCCTCCTCAGGCCTCTAGATCCCAGCTTTCTTCATTACCTCCTGTCTCAGAGGAAGAAGCCCCCTGCCCAATTCACCGTCCATTCATTTGCCCAGTAAATAAGACTTAGCCCAAGTGCTAGGCCACAATGGAGGAAGGACAAGGTAGGGAGCTCAAAATAAATCAACATGGAAAAATTCCAGGAATAAAATTACTATCTGCATGTTCAGTTTTTTTTTAAATTATTGTTATGTTATGTCAGTCACCATACAGTACATCATTAGCTTTTGTCATAGTGTTCCATGATTCACTGTCTAACACCCACTGCTCCATGCAACCCGTGCCCTCCTTAATACCCATCACCAGGCTCACCCATCCCTCCACCACTCTCCCCTCTGAAACCCTCAGTTTGTTTCCCAGAGTCCATAGTCTCTCATAGTTTGTCTCCCCCTCTGATTTCCCTCCCTTCATTTTTTCCCTTCCTCCTCCTAATGTCCTCCACGCTATTCCTTATGTTCCTCAAATAAGTGAAATCATATAATTGTCTTTCTCTGTTTGGGTTATTTCACTCAGCATTATCTCCTCCAGTCCCATCCATGTTGAAGCAAATGGTGGGTGTTCAGCCTTTCTGATGGCTGCGTAATATTCCATTGTACATAGGGACCACATCTTCTTTATCCATTCGTCTGTTGAAGGGCATCTGGGCTCCTTCCAGTTTGGCTACTGTGGACATTGCTGCTATGAACATCGGGGTGCATAAGTCTAAAATGAAAACTTATGATCACACAAAAACCTATATGTATATACTGTTCATAGTAGCTTTATCTGTAATAGCTAAAAAGTAGGAACAAGTCAGGTGTCCTTCAATGGATGAATGACATCACCCATCGTAATACATCCATACCAAGGAATAAAGAAAAAGGAATGAACTATTGACACATGGGACAATGTGTGTAAATTTCCAGAGAATTATGTCAAGTGAAAAAAAAGCCAGACTCAGAAGGTTACATACTGTATGATTCCATTTATATAACATTCTTATAGCAATAGCATTAAAGAAATGAAGACAGATTCCTGGTTGCCAGGAGTTAAGGAGGGATGGGATTGGAAGGGAAGTGGGTGTGGCTACAAAAGGCAACAGGAGGGATCCTTGGGGGGATAGGAATGTTCTGTATCTTGACTTCATCAATGTCAATATTGTGATATTGTACTGGAGTTTTACAAGATGTTAGCACTCAGAGGAAAAGGGTACAGGTGAGATTATTTCTTATAAGTACATGTGCATCTGTAATTACCCCCAAATAAGTTTAATTTAATTTAAAAAAACCCTCAAGAACCCAACAAATAAAAAAATAAAATTAATTTAAAAATAATAATAAGGGGCACCTGGGTGGCTCAGTGGGTTAAGCCTCCGCCTTTGGCTCAGGTCATGATCTCAGGGTCCTGGAATTGAGCCCCGCATCGGGCTCTCTGCTCAGCGGAGAGCCTGCTTCCCCCCACCCGCCTGCCTCTCTGCCTACTTGTGCACTCTCTCTCTCTGTCAAATAAATAAATAAAACCTTTTAAAAATAATAATAATAATAAAGTAAAATTATTACTAAAATAATAAAGTAAATCAACATGGAACACTCCCCAGCTGACCCCAGAGAATTTGCAGTCGAGTCCTGACACGTTAAAAAAAGGCAGAACATGACAGAAGAAAGCAGGAGAGCTTCTCACTGGGAGATCAAAACAGGCTTCCTAGAAAAGGCAGCCTGAGACGGTCCCTCCTAGATGAGCCGGGCTTGCATGGACATACATGGGCACTGGGGGAAGAGACAAAGGTACGGGGGTCAGAAAGCACAGAGCAGAGTGAGCCACAAGGCTGCGAGACGCTCACGTGCCATGAAGAAGAGTGACGGGAAAGAAGATCTTGGAAGAAACCCCAGACCAGCAAAGCAAAGCTCGGTCTGCAGCCTCTTACGTGAGCTGAACTCAGCCCCTCTCCAAACTTCAGTCTCTAGCATCTGATTTCCACTCACTGTCCACGCCGCAGCAATCCTCCTCCAATTCCAACATGAGCAAGCTGACCCCCTCATTAAGTACCCAACGAATCTTTCTACTCTTTAAGAAGAATCCAAAGTCCGATAGTACCGCCTACAAAATCCTCTGAGCTCTCGCCCTTCCTCACCTCTCCATCCCCACCTGCCGGCATGACGCCCTCCACAGTGGAACTTGGTCCTAGTAACACACATGCCAGTCTTCTGGGCCCTCACGCGCTCTCACGCCACAGAGACTTTGCCTCTGCTGTCCTTCTCCCCGCGTCACTGACTCGTAAGACCCAGCTCAGATGTCACTTCTCCAAGAAGCCTTCTTCTCTATGAGGCACCTGTTGTGTCCCTATATTGTGCTCATTTACTTCTCTTTCTCTCTGCCCTTCCTCACTGGTCTAGGCTCCCAGAGCCTAGCTCAGGGCCTGCCACAAAGTGGGAATTCAGTTAATGTACATTGAGGAGGAAGGGAGGCAGGTGGGGAGGCCACAAAAGATTATATGACCAAAAGGGTTTTATAAGTTATAAAACACAGTGCAAATGCTAAGTATAATAATAATATTAATAAGAAATAGGGGGAGCCTGGGTGGCTCAGTGGGTTAAGCCTCTGCCTTCTGCTCAGGTCATGATCCCAGAGTCCTGGGACCAAGTCCTATATCAGGCTCCCTGCACGGCAGGAAGTCTGCTTCTCCCTCTCCCACTCCCCCTGCCTGTGCTCTCACACTCTCTCTCTGTCAAATAAATAAATAAAATCTTCAAAAAAAAAAAAAAAGATTCTTTCTCTCTCCCTCTCCCTCAGCCCCTCCCTGCACCTCCTCACCAGCACGGGCACATGCACTCTATCAAAAAAAAAAAAGTTAATAAGACTTGTCTCCTCTAAAGACCACAACTTGCCCTGCCAAGACCCAGAGTGGAACCCAATGATCATAAAAACCTGAAACACTGGGTGCTTGGGTGGCTCAGTGGGTTAAAACCTCTGCCTTTGGCTCAGGTCATGATCTCAGGGTCCTGGGATCGAGCCCCGCATTGGGCTCTCTGCTCGGCGGGGAGCCTGCTTCCTCCTCTCTCTCTGCCTGCCTCCCTGCCTACTTGTGATCTCTGTCTGTCAAATAAATAAATAAAATCTTAAAAAAAAAAAAAACCTGAAACACTGACTCCAAGACAATGTTGGTTTAGATGGGGATTCCCAATGGTCAGAAGGAATGTTCCTGTCACATTCCTCAGTCCTGCCTTTGTGTTCCATAGAACGTCCTCATGCTCCTGACCCTCTGGCTAGGAGGAAAAAAGGCCTTTGAAGACTCACCCAGATCAGTCACCTCTAAATCACCCTGGAAATCGTTCTACCAGACCCGTGAACACCCTTGCCAGCTCAGCTTGCAAGTAGGGCAGCAGCCCAAAATTCCGTATGAAGAGACATCACCCCTACCTCCCCTCTCCTCCCCTCCCTTCCCCTCTACCAGTTATGGCCCAGGACAGGTAGGGCTGGTCCTCCCACCAATAGGGCTTGCTGCTTCACAAGAAGCATGGGGTCTTGGCTTGCCCCTCACCACAGACACTCCTTCTTGGGTCCAGAGATGAGGCTCAAGGGCAAGAGCAATGAGACTGGAGAACCGAAGGCTTGTTAGATTCCGTCAAGCACCCATAAGAAAGCACAGAAGTGACAACGGCATTTGGGGTTTGGGCTTCTCCTCTGGGAACATGGTTTCTCTTGAATGGATGTCCTTCTGAGCAAAGAGGCAATGCTTGGTCCGGAGAGAATTCCAGGGCATGGCCAGGCTTTCCTCCTGTCTCAGTATCAAGGGAGCTTGGCTTTCAGTTCAGCTCCCGGACTAACTGGCCTCACCCAGGAGTTGCTCTACCTCCAGACCCGTGTGTTTGAGCTCATCAGTAGCCTGGAATGACGGGCTGTCGTGGAGCAGGACCTCCTGGTCCTCCCTTGGAGTACAAGTTCAGTGTAATAATGACTTGCTAAGCTCTGTCTATATGCAAAGCACCTGGATAGGCCTATGGGGGACAGGAGAGACTAACAGTCAGTCCCTGGGGACAAACGTGGGAGGTTAGCCACAAGGGTCCCCTCTAGGATCTAGCCCTTGTGCAGAGCTGCCAGACGGGGCTCTTTCCACCTGCCTAGAAGCCCAAGTGTGGGGGCGGGGAGAGAGGAAGAGAGAAAGAGAGAGAGGCCAGGTCAGGGATGGCAGATGTACGTACGGCCTTACCATTCGGGTCAGTGGCACCGATGTAAACACTTGGGGTCTCTAGGCAGGGTTCTGCTCCTGTTCTTGGATCAGCATCGATCAAACAGCCCAGCCCGATTGGTTGGAGGGTGAGGTCTCCCTAGTTCACATACGCCCCTCCCTTTATCCTCCCCCTACACACACACACACAGACGTGCTCCAGAGAGACAATAAATCTGCTCAGAACCATGAATAGACCTCTTGTTGCAGGAAAGGGGGCCAAGGGCTGGGCTGGGCTGGGCAGCCTCAGCCCCTCCCATCTGCTAACTAGAAGCTTAGAAACAGAGAAAAAGGTTACAGGGAGGAGGGGAGGCCAGTGACTGTTGCTTAGCAACCAGGTCCCTTGTGCCCAACAGTGTGCCCCATGCATGCTAGCACAATCCCCCTTCCTGCTGACAGGGCTGTATCAGAAGGACCGATATCCGCATCTGTGGAAATGCTTCCGAGCCCTCTACATTATACCTCCTCTCTGTGTGGGCTGGCCTTCCCAGCAGCCTGGGGCTGTCACCGTGCTGGAATGGGGGAGATAACGAGGAATCTTTGCCGTTTCTCTCCTCAGGGATGCACTTGTCACCCCAATGCTGGGGAAATAGGGGCCTCTCCCCACAGCTTTCCTGGGGGCCAAGTCACTGCAGGAGCCCCCAGCGTTCCCTTGCTTCAAAGCACACGGCAGCCCAGCTGAGCCCAGGGTGGGCTGAACCCACCTGGGAGCCGCAGCTCTTCAGGGAGGCAGAACAGGTGCCAGGGAAGAAAAAGGCTTGTGTGGTCTCCCCTCCTCCGAATGCTCCTCATGGATCCCTCAGATGGAACAGTTAAGAATATGGGCCTTGGAAGCCAGGCCTTCATCTAACCCCAGTTCTGCCCCTTCCCTTACATGGCCTCACGTGTAAAATGAGGATAACAGGACCCACCTCCTAGGACTGATGCTGGAACCGAATGAGATATTGAGTATAAACCTCCTAGCCCAGCATGCAGCGTGGAAACGACCCAGTAACTGTCGGCTGTCGGCATTACTATCACTGTTGAAGCTCATGACACGGGCTCTACCTCTGCCCTCTGCTTCCCTCAGACGCTCAGTCAGCTCTGAGCTTGTGGTAGGCACTCAGAGCTCCCCACACTTCCAACACGATGGGGACACGAAGGTCAGCTATGCATCACTGAAACAGGAGAGACCTGGTGGCTCGGGCTGAGACTCCCCGGGCTAGGCTCAGAGATCTCCTAAAACAGATACCCCCAGCCTACAAGCAGGCATACTTGCTGTGTGTTCCAGAACCGGTCTGGGCACGGACAATGAATAAGTCACCAGCTAGGAAACTGCAGGCTGCGAGAAGACACGGGAACAGACACAAGTAAGTGAAAAGTGAATTAACAAGGGCATAAACACAGGGGTATAGGAAGACAAAGGAAGAGCTGACTCCTTTGCCCGGAGGACACAGAAAAAGCATCAGAGGAGAGGAGACATCTAAGCAGTGTTTAAGAAATGAGAACGCAATCATATAGAAGGGCATTCCAAATATACTATAGGTGATGTCAGTGAAAATGCCAGAGCAAAGACCTCCAAAAATGCTCTTCTCCATTAGAGCAAGGAGAAAGCAGACAAAAAATTTGTCAGAATCAAATTTTTAAAAGTCTGGAAATTAACCAAAGGCTCACAGAAATATAGAAAGTGTTTATTCAAGGAAAATGACACAATCTCGGTAAGAACAGTGATCTTTGTGGCATTTTAATTTGTTGTAATTCCATCGAGCTCTCTCTTAGAAAGCAGCATCCCGCAATCGCTAGGAAAACCAGCAGCCTAACAGCCACAGGTAGAACGGGGCTGGAGTTCCTTCAGAGTCTCCTCTCCAGAGAGCTGCCATTATTTGAAATGTCTGGAAAATCCCTTTTGTGAGACTGTCTTACTTTGACTGGACTCTGAGCTTGCCCAGTACGAACAGCTTTTCCTCCAAGGAGTTTTGTTGAAAACAATCAAGGACAGTTGTTGGACTTTATGGCTGCCTAAGGCAATAAGAATAACAGCTGAGGCAAAAATCAGCTAATCAAAAACCTTAAAATAAAAAGCTGGGGAATGAGGCATCCTTAGAGGCTTTGAAAGGCTCTGAAGTATTCCAGAGAATCTAGAAAGCAGGCACATGCACAGGAAAGCAAACATACACAGGGCTGTGTACGTACTTAGAAAACACTTCAGGAGGGTCCTAAGCTCTCAGCTCTGGCTAACCTTGAGGCTCTGAAAAGGCAGGACATGAAGGCTAAGGCAGAGTTGTCAGCTTCCTGGCTGAGTGTTGACGGCATGCCCCAACATGCCCTTGGAGCCCCCCCTGCCAAGGCTGAGAGACTTAGTGGTTCTAGGCATTGAAGGCAAATCTATGTCTAATCTTTCGCTGACCACTAAGCTAATTGAGCAGAGACTTCAGTGGCCACACACAAAGAATATAGACATTACAGAATTCATTCAGAAAAGTCACTAAACCGGGGCGCCTGGGAGGCTCAGTGGGTTAAGCCTCCACCTTTGGCTCGGGTCATGATCCCAGGATCCTGGGATCGAGCCCCACATCGGGCTCTCTGCTCAGCAGGGAGCCTGCTTCTTCCCTCTCTCTCTGCCTGCCTCTCTGCCAGCTTGTGATCTCTGTCTGTCAAATAAGTAAATAAAATCTTAAAAAAAAAAAGAAGAAAAGTCACTAAACAAACAAGAACAACAACAATAAACACTAGGGAATGGGGAGAATCTGATTTCCAGAGTCAGTGTATTACATTACTTAAAATCCAGTTTTCAATAAGAAACTCTGAGGCACACAAAAATTAAGAAAGTATGGCCCATATATGGGGCGGGGGCGGCAGGGAGGAATCAGTGAAGGTTTCTGGTTCAAGATGATGACATACAAGGCTCCTGAATTCCGTTCTTTCCACAGACACACCAAATCTACAGTTGCACACAGAGCGACTCTCTCTGAAAGAAATCCAGAAACTAGCTGAGCAACTCCTCCAATATGGCCAACAAGGAAATATCCACATCAAAACTGGCAGGAAAGTATGAGACATACTCTTGCCATAAACTCCACCCACGGCCTAACAACATATCATCAGGAGGGAACTCACAATTCTCAAATGTTCCCTGACGAGGGCAACGTTTGGACCCCACTTTTCAGATCCAACTTTTCAGACTTCTGCCTGAAGGATGGGCTCCCCCAGTGCCTAGTTCTGGGAGGGAATGGAGCTTCCGTGGCTGATAACCGCTTTAAGGTCTAAGCACCGTATTCATCTTAGAACTCTTTGAAGTTGTGACTTCGTGACTATAGTTTGTAACACTGCAGTGTATAATCAAAATTTGCTAAGAGTATATGACTTAAATGTTCTC